GACATGCACCTAGACGCCATAAAACACCTAATCTATATTTTACGGCAGACTATCGATAAATTTCAGGAAAAATTTGATTGTTTTTTTGCGTTTAAAGAATCAATAAATTAGGTTTACTATCGGTTTTCATTTGAAAAATGTCGGAATTAAAATGAAAATAGAGTTATTTTAGACTTAGTTTTAAAATAATCTGTTCCTTAGTTATTATATTACATCACAGCCGCTTACATGCCATACAGAATGTAGCAATGTGTTCTATTTATCAAAATCTACTAAAAGTTTAATCGAGTGAAGCTAATTTTCACCTATATACTTACATTATAGCTGATCGTTTTTAGCAAATAGTTTCAAACCAGATAAAAGATGAAGTACTTTTAAAGTGTAGAAGTCTACCGTAGAAAAAAGAAATAGAGAAATAAGTTATGCTGTCCATACTCACTACTATTTAAATTACAATTTCACAGAAACCACATACCACTCAGTAAGAAAACACTATCAGTTATTCATCTTTATTGCATCTGTGTAAATACTTACTGTTATGAATCATAACACTTAGTTTACTATACAAGAGAAAGATTTTTATCTTTATAAGTGCGTTAAAGATGTGTTCCTGTCACTTAATTATACAGATAACATTGACTGCTGTCTGTCCGTCTGTCTGTTTTCGACATAAAACTCTGCACAAATGTGCGGAAGTTCAAGTTGCCACATTCCGTGTAGCACACGAAGCAAGAGAAGAAAGTACAAGAAAAGCATAATAGAAACAGTGAGCAGAGGTGTGAGACAAAGGAGTAATAAAGAAATACAAAACAGTTTCATTGAAGATCATAAGTCACAGGGAGTGGATGCATCTGCGCCACTGAGAACGGTTTTGAGCCATGTCACCAATTGTTTCCAACCATAGATTTTTACCGTCCCGAGGACCCCAGCCTGGAAGTCTACACCTTCCTACGTGGCTTAGACCAACTGTTGTGGATTTCATTGACTGGTGAGGCCAAGTTTTTGTTTGACCGCCGCTAGCTTTTTTCCAGCCTGACCCTATATCCGCTAACATTGCTCGTCGAGGGAGGCGATGGCTTGGCATACGTAACACATGTCCTAACCGTCTCAGTCTTTGTAACTTCACGACTTCGTCGATTGATTTCCCCTGTTTACCTAGAACTCGACGCCTAACCTCAATGTTGCTCACCTTGACTGCAGATGAAGAAGGATCCATTTACAATGTCATTGAAATGTTGACCTGGATGCACAATATTCTAACGCCTAATTATTGTCGTATTTAAAAAATGTTTTACTCTTCCGTGTTCAGGTGATAAAATCAGTGATGACATATGCTGCACTGCAGCATTTTAGCTGTTTGCCGTCAATTTTAAAAATCCGACATCAGATGAAAGCATACAAACAATTTGTTCGTATTTTACATACCGGAAGACATTTTAAAATCTGATAATTTTAGTCTGTTAGCAAAGAAACCATCATTTTTTATATTTGGCTTTTGATTAAACAAGAAACCAGAAAATAACATTGAAATTTGCAGGAATAATTGATCTGCAGACATTACTTATTATGCACTGATTTTTTTCTTCATATTTTCATGCAAAGACATTAAACAATATATCTACATACAAAATTTTTTTAAAAACACAGACATGTGGTTTAGCTACTTGACATTCATTAATGACTGATAAAAAAAGTGAAAATGTGACGACTGATTGTATTTTGTTAGTCTGGATAGAAGGCCAGTTAGCCAGGAACCTGAATACTGGTTTATATCATTTCTGTAACAACTGACTGTGTTTTGGTTTACAACAAGACTCCAAGTGCTTTAGACAAGAAAACTGGTTTAAAGGAGATATTCAGAAATATCCATGTTTAGTTTTGTAAACATGCTGGGTATAACAAATAATAATTTTGGTCAAACTTTGAGGAAAAACTTTCAACTGCTTACTGGGTTTTATCAGTCACTGATAATTTAAAAAGAGTCGGTAAAATACAGACTAAAAAACGTGTACTGTGGAATAATGTTACAGTATTACAAAATTTACTTAACAAAAGAGAAATAGGAAATGATGAAAGAGCTAACAGAGAAATCCCATAAAGTATACCCAAAACACTTTTTAGTAACAAATGAAACGAGAAAGCTGTGGGGGGGGGGTCGTTACTCATGTCTACTCCAAGTCTTATGCTGACAGCATCGCAGTCTACCCAGATATATTGTTTCTTAGACCTTAGCCAGAGAGTCATAATTAACCAAGAAGTGCTTATTCAACACAACCGTCCTTTATCCCACATCATAAACTGGTTAGTTTTACCTCCAACTGACACTACAGTTAGCAGTTAACTATGTAACATATTTCCAGTATACCAAAAATAACCACCAACCAAATTTAGGTGCTTATCGGACCACGTCTTATGCGGGTAATGATAATAGAGAGCTTGCCATTTAGAGTTTATTACCACTAGGCTGTATATTATTCAAGAATTCATGTTAAAGAAGTGCTAGAGTGTGAAACGGTACTTGACTTAGTGTTCTTTGATGAGCAGTACTCATCAGGTTTCCAAATATTGTGCCATCTCTTAAGTAATTTGAAATTTGCTAATGACGATGAAACACACACCAGTATAAAAATCTCATTTCAATAATTCCACGCTGGATGGCTTGTTTAGCATAGATTATGACATTTTTCCATTCTGTACGATACGTAAAATAAGTCAGCTACTGTTAAGTCTACCGTAATAGTAATATTAGAAATTAATTAACAGTTTTAAACTTGTTTGATGGGTAAATATTTGGACAAAAAGTTAGTATGTCATGTCTCAGTACACAATCTGTACACTTGATTGTGTTTAACTGTGAATTTTTACTATCCCCTAACTCTCAAAAAAATGAGAAATGTTGGTGAAATTGGGGCAAAAAAGTCACATCACTTTTCTCTTGACTCTCGTGGAACTTTTAAGTCTGTACTAACTTTATTTATATAAGAAGAGTTAACTGTACCCATTTTGTTATTTGTAGATGGATACAGATTTGCGATGAAATGAAAGATTACCACTTTGTGATTAAACAAAATAGCTTCGTAAGACTTTTCTAATCTAATAAAATAAGTGATTGTACTGAAAATACTTTCTTTTCCTCTGAGATAAGGGAGGCTAGAGTGAAAATTTCTCCAGTAAGCCTTTCAATCAATTTGAATGGAAGGTTTCATATTGCCTCTTCTGTTGTTGTAACAGTGGTTGGACTTGCCTTAAAATGAAGGATATGATTCAACACTTCACTGAAAATCAATATGATTAGATATGACTAATCATAAAATATCTTGGAGAAGGAATCATAATACAGCGTTACCGATGAAATATCAATTCTTTCAACTTTTACTATGCTTAAGAAACAGCCACATAATTTAAATGAAAAATCTTAGAAATCTTAATGGTTGCAGTACTGAATTGTTAGGTACTTTTGACTCGTCGGTCCATTAAGTTCTCAGTTTTACACCCACGAATCGCTGAGCTCGATAGCAAACATCATTTATTACGTGAAAACTACGCTAGTGAACAAAACAATGTATTTGCCCCTGGCACAACTATAGATATATCAATATGTAATTCACTGAGTCAGTTATTAATATTTATGCTTATGAATGCAGTAAAAACAATAATACGGATCAACCAGGTAGCAATTCACCATCACAATAACTTTAACTGGGCGAGCTGAATGTGAAATATATGACAGTCAAGATTTAAGTAAACAAAAAGACCTGCAGTAAAATTTCTTGAAGAGAATCACTATCACCTTTCAAACATCTAATTAGTCAGATAAAAAACAAAGTAAATAGATTCACAGCAAACAAAACAAAGAGCTAAACCACTTGGACTGTTTTTGTACGAATCATGTAGAATCTTCCTCCTCGGACAAGATGCACAAAAAGAGCTTTCGAACTTCATGTAAAACTGTATATTAAAGAAAGTTTTGAAATTTCATTATTAAGGATGCAAACAAAAGAGGTTTATATGTTGCACGTAGAGTAACTCAATAAATTTGTTGACCGATTTCAATAGAATTTTCTGAGTATATTGTAGAAAACATATTCACTTCATTATTTCACTGAAAAACAGCAACTTCACAAAAGCGTATCACGAAGACTAAATTGAACACCCGCTACGTGTGTCGTTACAACCTAAAAGTAGAACCTCTGAGAAGATACCTACATTCCATTTCCCACAGGTATGTAATAAAGTAAAATAAATTCGTCCAAATGCTCAAACCTACAGGGAAGCATCTTATCAATTATCGATTTCCCGATAAATGAAGCCCAAAAATAATCCACAATCAACCACAAACAAATAACATCAAGATATTCGCATCAAAGCTGCATTGTCTCTTTAGCTGACAAAAAATTTAAGTACAGATTCACTTACTAAGTTCAGAAAAATCTGTCTACGGCTGATCGCTAAACCATGACCAAAACCGGAAAGTAATACGTATGTATCTAAACAGCATCTTACCTATGTACAAACGAAGTATATTATCAAGATGATACGACGATTAATTTAATTACTGTATTCACTAAACCTTGTACATAAATTGCATAAACCAGTATCCTTGTTTCTTATAAACAAAAGCTATGCTAAACAGTTAAAAAATGATTAGCTGTAAAACTTAGTTACTTGCATTTGTTTCAGAATCATTGGTTTACAAAACATGCAATTTTATTATCAAAGGGCTTCTAAAGAAGGCTCAGTTACCATGTTTAATAACTTTACGATATTATTTCACTGGTCAATACTCACATTAAATAGGAAGTTCTGAAATTGAAATACTATCTTTCAGTAGTCTAATATGAGGAATGAAGAAATATCATAATGTTTACAAAGCATAAAAGGAGTCGAATATATATATATATATATATATTTGGAAAACTAACATATTCATGAAAGCATGATTACTATATTAGTCGAAATATTAAAACGGATCCATTATTATGTTATACGATGAAACTTACCCAAGAGTGGTCATAGTTACAATTGTGTACCAAAACGCAGCTGGGATACTACTGAACTGTGACATTTCTGATTTTTCTGCATAAAACATTATTGTTGAAAAGATTATAACACCCATTGTTATAGTAAACAGGAGAAATCCGAGTTCAGAAGCACAGCAACGTAGAGTACATCCTAAAATCCTCAGTCCTTTACTGTGTCTCGAAAATTTAAAAATGCGACAAACGCGAAATACACGTAAAGTTGTGAATGCACCCGAAAATTCCTTGTTGTTGGACATGAAGAGTCCAACGTAATATGGAAAAACTGCAGCAATATCAATTATTGACATAACAGATCTGACAAATTTACATCTATCTGGTGCTGCATACAGCCTGGCTAAATATTCTATAGTAAATAGAAGCACACAAGCAGTGTCTAGGCAGAAGAATGCAGCGTTATATTTCTCCCCACAAGGAATACTCTCGCCAGTTTCTATACTTATACCACAAGAAACAGTTTCTGTTATATTTGCAAGCACAGAAACTGCTATGAAAAATCCCGTTACGTAGTAAAGGACGACTGCTAAAGTTGAAGCTTGCGGGTTCTCAAAAGCACGCCACAACTTATCTCTGAAACACGTCAGCGGCTGTTCATCATCTGAAGTGTCTTCTTTGTCTTCTTGTTGTCTTTCTTTATTTTCCCGGTATTTATCAAGATACTCCTCGTAGCAACAGTCTCCCATAATCTCAGGCATTATGCCAAAATACAGTAATTCCTCATGATACGCTGTCACACAAGAATCCTTCGGTAAGTGTAACCTTTCTGAACGATAATACTCCATTATATATCGGAACAGTTCGGGATCTCTATCGAAAAAATACTCTTTTGAAACAGGGTCTTGAAAGTAGTCTTTCTCGTCTGAACCAAGTAAAGTATCAGGAAATTTTTCCAGGGTGGATTTAAGTGTTTCGAATCTCCTTCCGCTTACATTGATTATTATTTTTTGATCTTGAAAACAGTTTCGATTAGAAATCAAAGGCTCATCTGGAAGTTTACTTTGAAGCAGAGGTGTCCAACCAATCGCTGAAGCTCTTACTACTGGAAGCCAAGATGGAATCATTATTGAAGATAGGCATATAGTTTACTGAAACATCTCAATACTGTTATATCAGCATATGCTTTAGCTGGCCTTATGATGTGAAAGCCCGTATTGTCTCATAGATTATTCATATTGTGTACGACCAACCAGTAACCTTGAAAGTACCTTGTCCAATCTTTGACTTAAGCACAAAGACTTTTCAGGATGTGGCTTGTTCAAATAAAACAGTTCAATTCAACTATCTGACTTCATTTTTGTGAATCCTAGCTGAATAATTGGTTCACATGTTTCCAATACCCAATATCCTGATTACGAGCTAGTATAAACCAGTGATTTCTTTGAGCTCGCTTCTTGATTGTGAGGTAGAGGTTCCAGATCTTCGGTGAGCTTCTGCGTAGTAAGTCCCGACACTCGACTGCTTTAGCTCTGGTAGACTCCAGGAGGAGTGGTGCGGGGATTGGTCGAGATGTGGTTTGTAGTATGCAGTATGTTAGGACTGTATTGCTGCCGTGAATGGAGTTTGACCTAACTCCCGTTGGTCATTCGGTGTAGTCATAAAAGCAGAATAGTAATAATATAATAATAATAGGTTGTAGTGTAGATAATATAGGTTGAGATAAGTGGAATAATAAAGGTGACCTAAGGAAAAGATAGAGTGAGAGAAGGCAGAATAGGTCGTGGGGATTTAGTTTGTACGCTTATTCATTGACAGTGTGGTTTCAAATTTTATGAGGATAAGCCATTGAGACACAAACCTTGCATTTCTGCATGATTGTCTAGCTTCCGCTTAAAAATCTCCAGAGATGGCGCTGTAGTCACGGCCGCCGGTAAAGCGTTCCAGAGACGGCAAACACGAAGCGAAAAGAAATGTGATCGCACTCGAGTCTTTGGTCTCTGGTGTGCTATCCTTAGCGGGTTACCTCGTGGAAGCCTATAATCGCTTAATGGCAGGATGCTTTTATTTGGGTGGGCCTGGTCATTTAGGATCTTGTAGACGGTGATGAGGTCTCCCCTGTGCCTACGGTAACTAAGTGTGAAAAGACCTAATTTCTTTAGTCTTTCCTCATATGATTTGTTGCGGAGGCCGATCACCCATTTTGTCGCTCGTCTCTGGACACTTTCTAGAATGTTAGCATCCCTTTTGAGTAGCGGAGGTGCAATGATATTATGCACCTCAAGGTGTGGCCTCACATATGCCTTGTATAGCCTTAAGAACAGTTCGGGAGTGAGAGCTCCCAGCTGCCTGTGCATAAAGTGTAATGTTGCGTAGGCTTTGGCGACGTCCCTCGAGTAATTTCCACTGGTGTCTAGCTTTTCTGTTAGAATAAGACCTAGATCACGCTCTGATGGAACACAACTCAAGTTCTGGCCACCAAGGGTGTAATTTACACTCTGTGACCTGCCGGAATGAAGCTGCACTACTTTGCACTTCTTTAGATTGAAAGGCATTCCGTTAGCCAAAGCCCAATTTCCCAGAGTTTGCAGGTCAGCCTGCAATCTATCTGAGTCTTCCGATGAGTTTATTGCTCTCCAAATCTTTACGTCGTCAGCGTAAAGAAGCGCAGAGCAGTTTAGTTGGGGGGGCAGGTCATTGATAAAAATCAAAAACATCAACGGCCCTAGGATAGAACCCTGAGGAACCCCTGATGCCGAGGTGTGCCAGGATGATCGGATGCGGTTGACTTTGGTGCAGAATTCTCTCTCGCCTAAGTAATCTTTCAGCCATGCGAGAAGTGCTCCAGAAACTCCCGCCTTGCCTATTTTGTGAAGGAGCAGACCATGGTGAACTGTGTCGAATGCTTTCGCAAAGTCGAGAAAGATCACGTGGGCTGGTACCTTTTTGTCCCAGGATAGTGTCCAATCGTTCCAGGCTAGTAGAAGATTCGTCACGCAGGATCTTCCCCTCCTGAAACCGTGCTGTGCTTCGTGAAGAAGGTTAGTCCCATCGAAGTATTTTCTCATGTGGTCGTCAATGAGACTTTCCAATATCTTCGATACCACTGGAAGTAGAGCAACTGGTCTGTAACTGGTCACATTCTGCCGGTCACCACCCTTGAAGATAGGGGATAGGATTGCACGTTTCCATTCACATGGAAGTTTCCCTACATCAAGGGAGTGTTGGAACAGATCACTTAGGGGTTGACAGAGACTTTCTGAACACTGCTTCAGGACAGATGGTCTGATGCCATCACAACCTGGAGACTTTCCCGAAGCCAACCTTCCCAATTTTGCAAGTACCATAGCCGGGGTAATTTGAAATGTCCCCAGCAGGTTTTCGTGTGTTGGTTTTGCGATGTAATCTGGATGTTCTGTAGGGGTAATATCCTCGTTACTATTTAGTTGCCTGTGAAAGGCTAGGCTGAATGTCTCTGCCATTTCAAGACTAGTAAGAGATTTCCCATCAGAACCCACTAGATTGCATGCTCCCTGGTTGGTCGGTTTTCTTTCGGCCATAAACCTGTATAGGCTTTTGGGGTTCACGAGAAGCTTATTGGCGAGGTCTCCCTGAAATGTCCTTCTATCGCTCCGGACTCGTATGTTACATCGATTCCTGAGTTCAAGGTACACTTCATATTCGGGTTGACTCTTCGATCGTCGCCACGCGAACCAGGCTTTTCGCTTTGCCTGCAGAAGGCGTTGTGTCCCCCTTTTCAGCCATGATCGTTGCTTCCTAGCTTTTGGTGAGACTAAAGGAACAGTGTCTGAGACCGCCTGGTGAATGATTTCCTTTACCACTCTCCAGTGTTCTTCTACTGTTAGCTCTGTCCATTTTTTAGGCCAGTTTGCTTCAGACAGAAGTCTTCGCATTTTGGTGTAGTTGGCTTTGTTATAACACAGATAGGGCTGTGTATTGTCCCACTGTAAGCGCTCGCGGAGGACTATGTCGAATACTATGACCGCGTGGTCACTACTACCTATGGGAGTCGTGATCTGAACGTTTTCCACTAGTAGCTGGTCACTAGTGAGCACGTAATCCAGTCTAGAAGACTTCCCATCAGGGCCCCATCTAGTATCCATCTTGACATTTTCAGTGAATCCAGCCTTCCTGATGGTATGCAGCAGATTTCGATCAAATCTATCATGGGCTTTTCCCGACACCAAGTTAAGAGATGGGGCATTGAAGTCACCAGCTATGACAATTTGATCATAACCCATGTCTTGAGTTGCTGAAATTGTATTTAGCAGTACCTGGTTGTGGTCTGCTCCACATGAAGGTGATCGATAAATGCTGCCCACTAGATATTTGCAGTACCCAACGGTGAAGTGGCACCATATGGAGTCAGGGAGCTCTGTGAGGGGAGGGTCCATCGCGTGAACACATCTGAGCTGTTTGTCGACGTATATGGCGACTCCACCTCCTTCTTTCAGGTCCCTATCTCGCCTGACTAGGACCATATCATTTATACTGACTTCGCTGTCTGCCACCGTAGGGGTTAGCCAGGTTTCCGTCAGTATTATGATTTTGGAGTTTAGTTGTGATTGTAGGTGTCTAAGTTCAGCTATTTTGCCTCTTAGCCCTCTCACATTACTATACAGGCAACTGGTAGTCAGTCTCACCACTTCCCCGTATTGGGGGGTAGTTGACTTGATATTGGCTATCGGTTGAGGAGTTATCCTACGAACTAGTTGGCCGATTCCCCAGGAACCGGCCTGTTGGCGTTTTTTTCTTCTAGTTCAGTTGGAGCACTCGGATGACACTGGCTATCATCGTCCGTGCTGCACCGCTGTAGTGTGACTAGGGGTTGAGGATTTTCTTTTACTACGCTTTGTTCTCTCCTTTGAGTGCGAGGCCGGCTCTCGCAGCAGCGAATGTGTTTGCTGACCTTGTCCTTGGTCTCGTACCATCTATGGAGAGCGGTATTCAACTGGTCTTGGGAGCTGAACTTGACAGCTAACAGACGTGGCGAGTTAATTGACATAAGATGAGTGGGTCGAGGCAGTCTATAAATAGAGACAGCCCCTGAACTTCCCAGGGCCATCTGGGATGCTAACCATCTCCATTGTTGTACATCATGACAATGCTTTTCGCAGGCGTTCCCAGTTACCAGTTCGGGAATGCCATGCACAACCATGGAGGCAGAAGGAATGAGCTCTGGCGACTCCCTCGCCATTTGTCTTTCCTTCCACGGCCTGTCTGGCTTAACACGTATGTTACAGGCCCTCCCTATAGAAAGGACTTGAGAAGCCAGTAACACTTTTTCAACATCCTCGGTAGAGCCCAATGTTACCCTCAGTGGGGATGGTTTGCCTTCAGGTGCAGCAGTGCCCCTATACAATCTGCATAGATTTACTGGTTGGATGTCCAAACCCAGTGTGCTACTCAAGATGGACCACTGTTCCTGATCAAATAGGGCCCTATCTTTCAGCAGACTACTGCTACAGTCTGGTACATTAAAGAGGATTACACAATTTGATCTGCTAACCGTGGGCTTGGGCTCGGTCCTCGCACGTTTGTGATCACCTTTAAGACCGTTTTGGTTTGACTGGTGCGACTGGGTATTTTTATGTGTCTCAGTGCTATAGCCAGCATTACTGATAGACGGTTGGGGTCTTTTTCCAACGACGGAAACCCGTGGTTCTCCAGCCTCTGTGTCTGGAGCGGTTATGGCAAGAGTTACAAGTTTAACCGGTGAGGATTTTGGTATCCCCGGTTTACGCGCGTTTGTACTAACTTCCGGATTGGTGGGGGTCGAGCTTTTCAATTTTTCCCCGCTACTTCTGTGCCATCTTTAGTTTTCAAAGGACTACGCGAGGCTACATCAGGACGGCAACTCGGGCATATGTACCAGAACCATTGGCATGGGTTTTTACGCATAAAGTCATAATATGCTTTTGGTACCCCACTGTCGCATCTGCAATGCACCCATCGGTTGCAAAAGTTACATTCGAAAGCAGAGTCTGCTTGTTCGACAACAGAAGCACAGACCTTGCAGTCGTCTGTCTTCTTGGGGAGCGTTCTTGTCGTCTTGCGACGTCGTGAACGTTTCTTTTTGGCCTTCCTATTTGTTTCATGGTCTACCATGGGGATGGGTGTTATGAAGTTCTCACTTAGTGCAATTTTCCCACTCGGATCTGTTAACCTAGTCGTGTTAACAGGGGTGGAGCCACATCCACTTGGCTGACTTTGCACAGCTTCACTGTAGGACTGTGGCGACATGGGTAATCT